CCCCAAAACCCCAAAACCCCAAAACCCCATTATGGACTCGATTTATTGAGCACAATTTTGAATTTTATACAAATTCATATAGTATTCCAGAAAAAGCAGCAACAGCATTGATCCCTCCAAAGACAGTGCCTCCTCCAGTCATGAAGATATGATTGAAAAATAGCCTCATTGTTGATATCTCTTTCAAAAGCTTTATTGTAAAACATTATTGAGAGAATGAAGCATAGTACTGACCTGATAATGTTCCAATGAAATCTAAGAATACACCAAATTTAGGAACTGAGACTGATATAAAGCCTCATATAATTACGATCATAGTCCTTGAGACCAAGAACTTGATAACTGGATAGCTCTCTCAGTTAGGGAGCCTATTTATGTCACTTGAAATTTTCAATGATGTTCAAGCAAGGGAATAATTGCAGCGGGAAACTTGCTAGTAATCCAAACGAATATAGAAGTCTTACTAGAGTTGTTACGTCGTTATGAGGAAGATTTAATGTGATAAGATCCTCTACTTCACTTCCATACGCGAGATAACTCAACGATGACACAGTTATAACCATTAAAGAGATTGTGAAAGCGCTTACAATAAATACAAATTGAAACCTCTTAGGATATTTCATCGATGCCTGCACATTTAAGGCAACCGGATGTCCTTCAAAATTTAAAATAGCAATACCAAAGAATAATGGGTAGTGGGCGATATCAAATAATTTGACTAAAGAAGTCAACTCTTTCTGTTCTTCAGAATCTGATGTAATGAAATAGAAATCGTAATGTAAAATAACAGAAAAGGTCAGGCACATTCCAACAAGAGCTAAGAATGTAATCTAGGAAAATTTGAGATACTTGGACCAGCATATCATGCTTGGTGATACTCTCTTCTGAGTGTTGAGTATTCACTACATTAAAAGAAATATTCATGGATTCGCTTAGTGTGCAGAACACATTCTCAATATTGAAGGACTCACAGGTAAAAATTCCAGGAGGAGTAGACAGTCTATCTTCCAAGAGATACTCCCTAAGTATCCTTTAAACACTCAATACTATTCTTGTCTGAGTTTCTATCTTTAATATCCGCTTTAAATATTTCTGATAATTCATCTAGGCCAGGGGTTTTGGGGTTTTGGGGTTTTGGGGTTTTGGGG